AGTATTGTATTTAACTGTAGTAATGCCTTAGATCTGCACCCCCTAAGTCTGCTAGATAATATGTTTAATTGCAGCAGGACTAGGGTAACTAAGTCACTTGTGCCACTGTATTGCTAAGGCCTTCTATAGTCCTCTCTTAGTGCGTATAGTAATTTTGTGTGTGTAGTTAGCAGCTAGTAGGGATAGTTTATACTTAAGCACCTACTAGCTAAGCATTTCTAATACTACTCTAATTACTTAGCTATTTACTTATTAGAGAGTTGTTAGGTCTACTTGTGTATCCTACTATATACCTCTGTTTTATAGTAGGCAGAAGGAGACTAGGTTGCATAGCAGGTCTAGGCAAATTGCCATGTCTGTAAGGGTGACCTTAGTTGTCCTAGCTCTACTCCTTAGGAGTAGATTAATTAATCTATATCCTCTAACTAGCACCTTAGAATTCCTAGCCTATATAAAGTCTCTAGGCAATAGCTGTTAGAACCTATAGATATAGTTAGGGTTGTTAGTAATATAATAGTTAGTACCTAAGTTAAGTATAAATAACTTCTATAGTAGATAGTTAGTAGTATCCTGTTAGTTTACTATACTAAGCACTACTTTAATATTAGTAATTTCTTAGCCTTCTAGTTTATTATCTAGGATTTCTAGGGTAGGGGTGTGTAAGTGCTTTACTACTAGTATTCTTAATCTACTCTTACTTTGTGTGTAAAGTAGCCCTTAAAAGGTAACATCTTTCTTACACTTAAACTTAATAAGTTTAGAAATAATCTTATTTAGTTTCTACTACTTAGGAGCTCTGTCTTAATTAATATAGTAGTAATCCTGTATAGAGTAGTGTTGTCCATATGTAGGGTATTTTGCTCCCCTAGTAGAAGCAGGCTCTTGATCTAAAGGCTGCTTAAGCGTAGTAGTTTTCCTACCTACTGTATGTTAATATTAAGGTCTGCCCTAGTTAGATAGCACACTTACAGCATGTTAGGCGTCCCCTTTATAGCTCTAGGAGGCTGCACCCCCTTTAGCAAGAAACACTATATTATTAGCTACAAAGGCCTTATACTACCCTAATCTAAGGGGATAATTTATTATTATGTGCTCTTAGTAGTATTTTATTATCTCCTTCTAACTTATACTAGATTTAAAGTGTCTACTATCTTAAAAGCTTGTAGCCTATATAGGCGTGACCCTGTTTATAGCTGTTAGAAAGTCCTTTGTTATTATATTTAATTATAATAATTTAGCAACTTTGTACGTCTCTGCTTCTGTAGCTACCTAGTTATACTTAGCTAGCTTAGTATCCTATTATAACGTGCTTCTTATTAGCTTAAGTGCTAAGAGGTATCTATCTTAGGCTTATTCTTATTTAATTTGTTTATTAACCCTAATAGTAAGTTGTAGGTCTATAATCTACTATTGTAGTAGTTTCTTAGGAAGACAGTATATGCGTAGTAGATGTAGCAATATAGTTAACTAGATAAATATAATAATATACTAAAGGCTTACTTCCTTCTTCTTATATTTATATTAATTATTCTTATATTATTTAAGGAGTACTTTATAATACTTTAGGTCTTCCTTAAATGCCTTCTAGCCTGTTGTTAATAGCTTAGTTAGCCTTAATAGTATGTTAGTGTTTACAGCTAGTGCGTAATTAGTAATAGTTAGAGCCCTTAGTAAGAGTAGCTTTAATAGTAGTAGTGTAGTTGTCTTTAGGTTAATCTTGTCCTAGATGTTGCGCAACAGGCATCTCGCCTGTAGCTGCGCAAGCTAGCCAGTCTAGTCAGCTTAGTCCCTAAGGACTGTTGTTAGGTTGTGGTACACTAGTTGCGCTATTTTATTTGCGGCAGTGAGGTTGCAGTAGTTTAGTTACAGCAGTGAGACTCTTAATTGTCAGATGCTTGTACTGTGAGCTAGAGTATGTGCTTAACAAGATCTTAGGTGGTATGATGATATATTGACGATCGTGGCGATGGTGTCTCTGCCATGGCGTCGTGCTGGTTGCTACAGGATTGAAGTGGGGGGAATTAGCGCTGTTCGCGGCCGCCGGTGTGCGGGCCAATCAGGAGTTGCCAGGTCTCGCTTATTCGACCTAGCAACTGCTGATTGGCTGCACGACAGGTCCCTGCTCGATTGCGCAGATCCGACCTCTCGCCGCTCGCTCTTATCTGACAAGAGTTTATAGATATTAGACCCTATAAAGCCTATTAAGTAAAAAGGTATAGCCTTAGAATCTAGCTTCTTAGTAAACAAGCTAGGTTCCTTGTAGTAAGCTAAAGAGCTAAAAACTCTTATATTGCTTAAATTAGGCAGTACTTTATATTTTATAAAGTAAGGGGTCTTAAACTCTATAGAGCTACTAGGTGTTCTATTATAGAGGTACGTAGCAGCTAGTAATGCTTCACCCTAGATTAGCTTGGGTAGATTACTAGTAATTAACAGAGCTCTAACCTTATTAAAGAGTACTCTATTAATTATCTCTGCTGCACTATTTTGCTTAGGAGTATAAGGAGCAGAATATCTAGTAAGAATACCCTTGCTAGTAAGGTATAAGTCTAGTTCTTTAGACTTAAACTTATTATCTAGCTGCAAGGCTTTAACCTTATTATTACTAAAGGGTTTACTAGAATTCTTACTATTAGAGCTATTAGAGCTATTATCTTTAGCCTCTAATTCTAGCTTAGCAATAGTAGTCCTAATAATATCTACTATATTACTTCTAGATCTAAGTAGTTTTACTACTAGATATTTTATATAGCTATCTCTAAAAGTAATGTAGTATTTAAAGCCTCTTAATGCTTTAGGCCTTATAGGACCTCCTATATCTATGTAGATTAAATCTAGATAGGCTTTAACTTTAGTGCTTGCTTCTTTATTTCTTTGCTTAGTTAGTTTAGACTGTATATAAGTAATATAGTTGGGGGCAAGCAGACGAAGGGATCCCTGCTCATGAACGTTGGGACGGAAGAGAACCAGAGGAAGCTGGTCAAGTCCGGCTTCCTGATGGGGGCTGAGTGGCACCCAGCTCAGCTCTGGGACATCTCCCTCACAGATGGACAGTGCTTCAAGTGCTGGAAATGGGGCCACACCCAGTCTGTCTGCAACGCCACCAAGGAGGCGTGCGGGCACTGTGCTAGAGACCACGCCACTAGGAGCTGCAAGAGCACCGATGAGTCGAAAGCCAGCTGTGCGTGTTGCAAGCAGAAGGGACACAAGGCCTAGATGTCACGCCAATACAGGGCCTACTAAATGTTTTAGACTACAAACAAAGAGACTAAACAGAGGCTACAGTAGCAGACGCTCTAGATCTAGTCTAACTAGGGACAAGGGTTCTTAGGACTAACTATCAGCCTTAGCAGCTCTACGCTGGCTAGTAGAGCCAGCTTAGCAAGAGGAGACAAAGCAGAATGGACAACCATTCCAGTTGCTGGGGGAAACAAGAGGAGAGCGGCAGTCAGTCGCCCCACCTACATAAGCAGGGCCGCCAGCGCCCTAGGGCAACAGCGGATATTCACATTCTGTCAAGAAACTAGAGACAACAACACGCTAGCTGAGGAAGCCGTTCGATCCACCTAATAAGAGGACTAGGCATCATCCAATATAACTGCGGAAATGCGAATGGAGGAGCAGCAAGGCCACTCCTAGACTTAGTCATCCCAGCGTCGTTCCTGGTCATTGCAATCCAGGAACCTATGATTAGAAGCTCAACGGGTGGGCACACATACTGCCCTAAGAACTACTAACTAAGCTGCCCCCTACGCTAGGGGATGAAGGTGGTATTCCTTATATACAACTAAATACTACTTACTAAAGTTAAGAGCATGTTAGCTACTAACCTTACTAAGGGAATCTGAGTCCGCACGCAAGGCCAGTGGACCCACATCATCAACGTTTACAGCCCGCCTATAATACCAGGCCGGGAAGCCACACACACCATCAAAGCATGGCCGGCAATCAGGAACGCCATCCAGGACGCTCTGCCCAACGCTGCAACTCTAATTATTAGAGACTTCAACGCCCACCACCCAGAATAGTCAGGGAGGAATACACCAGGAGAACCGCAGGCAGAACAGCTCCGTGCTAACATGGCTAGTTAGGGATTCCAGCTCCTAAACAAACTAGGGGTACTAACCTAGAGAAGAGGACCCCTCTAATTAGTTATAGACCTAGGGTTTGCTACAAGGGTTGTAGTAGACAGAGTCACAACCTACTAACTAAGAGAGGACTAGGCTGTTACAAGGGACCACGTCCTAATTAAGATCTAGATAGACACAAGCCCTATAGCCAGGAAGGAAAGCAAGCAGTTTGCCCTTGCAAAGGCTGACTGGGACAGGATTAAAGATACTGTGAACTAAGGCGACTGGACCTAGGCGACAGGAGGAGAGGCTATTATAGGCCTTATTAAACAAGTTAAGGAGGCACTAACTAAACACTGCCCTATAAAGAAGACCCGCGACAGAGCGAGGCCTGATTAGTCACCCAAAGCAGCCACAATACTTAATGAGGTAAAGAGGGCTAGACAACTAGCACAACAGGACCACACAGGAGACAGTGAAAGGGTGTGGAAAGCCCTCTGTAACAGACTAAAGAGAGTCCTGCAGTCAAACACCAGAGCACATTAGAGAAAAGTAGTGGCAGACCTTACTAACAACAAAAACTTAGACAACGCCCTAAACAAGGGTCTGTGGAACCTATCTAAGTAGAGCCAGAAAGTTAAGAGCAGGGGCGAGAGGACAGTAAACGTCCTACTACTCTAGAGGTTAGCAGAAAGCGAACTCGAAGCCTTAAACAAGGAGAAGGCCAGGATCCTAGGGGAGCGCTTCTTCCTAGCTAGTGGGGCGGCGGACCTGTCAGACATCAACCCCATCACAGAGTACCTACGCTTCCACCTGGCGCCAGAGATATCCCCAGACGAATTAAAGGAGGTCATCTCCTCACTACCTAATAACAAGGCACCAGGACCTGACTAGATACAGAACAAAGTATAGAAAACTCTTAAGGAGGACATTACAGACAGAGCCTCTGCAGCAATCTCCTAGGTGCTGAAGGACAGCAAGGTACCTATACACCTTAAGGAATCTATAACTGTTGTACTACGCAAGGAGAAGAAAAAGGACTACTCCCTGCTAGGGAGCTACCACCCTATTGTATTAGAAAACACAATAGCTAAAATTATAGAAAAGATTGTCGCCAACAAGATCACGAACGCGATAGAGGACAAGGAACTCACGCCATGGAATCAAATAGGAGCCCGCAGGAAGAGGTCCACACTCACGGCCGTAGAACTCCTCACGGGCACAGTCACTACGGCATGGGGGGCGGGTCAGCTAGTGGTCTTAGTGCTCGCACTTGACCTGGCCAGAGCATTCAACAACGTAGCTCACAATCGCCTTACATAGGTACTCCGACGTAAAGGCTTCCCTAAGTAGATAGTTATATACGTGGAGGCCTTCCTTAAAAACAGACAGACAAAGATTAGCTTTAACAACTACAGCAGCCTATAGATAGAGACGAACACTAGTATACCACAGGGATCCCCCCTGTCGCCCATGCTGTTCCTACTCTTTATCTCTAACCTACTAGAGGACCTAAGCAAAGTCTAGGACAAGTGCCTAGGCTTTAGCTTCGTGGACAACATAAACATCATAGCATAGGGACTATCTGTAGCAGACAACTGCAGGAGACTTACAAACGCCCACACGCGATGCAAACAGTAGGCATCTAGATTTAGAGTAAGGTTTACCCCTAAGAAATACTAGCTTATACACTTCACTAGGCAGCAGAACAAGGGAGATGACCTCCTCTCTATAGTAATAGTAGGAGACTAGCCAGCTAAGATTGTTACAATAATAAGGGTACTTAGAGTATAGATAGACCTAAAGCTCTTGTAGAAAACGCACATCCAGAAGGTAGCAACAAAAGGAGAGATGGCGTTCCACGCTATGTCTAGGATCATAGCATTGTTATGGGGCCTGTTAGTCCGCAAGTCACAATTAGTATACACAGCAGTGGCACGTCCAATCATAGTATACAGATCCTAGATATAGTCAACAGGGCAGGGAGGCAAAGGCATAGACGAGGCAAAGATTCGCAAGCTAGTGGTGGTCCAGAACAAGTGTCTGAGGCGGACGCTAGGGGCCTATAAGAGAATACCAGTGGCTGCAATTAAGAAAGAGAGTAGAACGCCGCCACTATCCCTGTACATACAGGTGGTGACCCTCTAAAGGGCAGTTATAACAACAAATTACCTAGTCACAAAGAGGATTAAAGAGACACTTAACAAAGTATAGGCCTCAGCCACTACAGGTGGACGAGCAGCAAGACAGGGCAGGCTGGCGAGGATCCTCACTCAGCCACAAACTAACATAGAGGGCGCCTGCTAAATAGGGAGAAAACTTATTAACAAACAAATAGCGCGTAGGCAGGCTAAGGCTGCTGCCACAGGTCCAAGGAACAAGCCCAACAGAAGGCAGATACAGTCAAGGAGCACGATTAAGGAGATTGCCATGGACCTCACAGACAGATGGAGGAGGAGATGGGAGCTTCAGGCAGCAAAACCTCACAGGTTGGCGCCTACGTGGAAGGAGAGCTGGGATTTCCAGCCACTGCATCTATATGACGGCGTTCCTAAACACGTAGCTACAGCAATTGTGTTGCTACACACAGAGGTCCTTGGGCTCAAGGCGTGGCTAGCACGAATTAGGGTACTAGGCACTAACCCTAACTGCACGTGCGGACACCCTAGGCAGACTCTCAGCCACGTCCTCTCGTTCTGCCTAGACTAGAGGGAGGCGAGGCTTAAGCTGATAGAAAGGGCGGGCACAACAGATCTCCCACAAATTCTGATGAACTAGGAGAAGGTTGCAGCAGCAGGCAGGTGGCTGTTGGACACAGGACTGCTAGAGCAGTTTCAAGTGGCGCTGGAGGTGGAACAGACTGACACTAGGGGGTGGTCCCTATTTACAGCCATAGGCTAACACCCACACAAGCCCTTCTGCTCCCCTACCATAGGGCAGCACAGACAGGTACTAGACAGGACTAGGACAGAAGGCAATAGACACAGACAAGGCGGGGGTTTTTAGCTCTAATAGAGCATGTTGGCCCTGATCACGAAAGCGAGTACATAGTGTTCATAGACCTGAAAGGGAACCAGGCAGCACTCTAAATTGAAATCTTACTTACTTAAGTAATATAGTTATCTAAGCTAGTAGAAGTATTGCCTATATATTCTAGATTAATAAAATCTACTCCTATTGCATTATTCTTTAAGTGCTACATAGACTTAAGACTTATATGTCCTAGTCTTTAATGTGCTAGCTTAATAGTATTATAATTAAATATTATTTATTCTTCTCCTTCTAAGGGACTACTAGAAGAGTTTGTAGCTTCTAGATTAATAGCCTTATCTAGAATTAGGCTATTACCTATATCTGCTTAGCTAATAGAAGCATTAACAACAGGGTGTATAGCGCTTCTTGTAATAGATGTAGGCTTAGAGCTAGTAGCACTAAAGACACTAACACCTTCTTTATAGCTTCCTTTAGCTAGTAAAGTATTCTTAGGTGTTTAGATAAAGCAGCTATCCTTATTAAAGGATAGACTGTAGTTCTTAGAAGTAATAAGGCTTAAACTAAGCAAGTTTACTCCTAAGCTTAGGACATAAAGCACATTAGTTAATTTAACTAATTGCTTAGTGCTAGTAAAGACTAGGCTTATTTCTCCTACACCTTGCGCCTTAATTATATTACTAGTATTACCCTACTTAATAGATGTATTGGAGGGTCTTAGGCTAGTAAACAATTCTTTAATATAGCAAGTGTGTATAGTTGCTCTAGAGTCTAGGATAAAGTCTATAGTATAAGGAGTATTAGACTTTGTAGAAGAGAAAAGAATTTGTTCTTCTTTGCTTATAGTACTACTATTAACAGATTTATCCTTTCTTAAGCTAGGATATTTCCTATAGCAGCTAGACTCTAGATGTCCCCTTAATTTATAATAGTTACACTTTACAGTAGACTTTATTCTTGTCTTACTAGTGTTACTATTATTATCCTTAGTCTGTATAGACATTTCTATATTATTGCTATAACTAGAAGAATCTTTACTACTATAAGGCTCTCTTATAGTATTGCCTTTGTTAATAGTCTTAAAAGACCTAATTCTTCTAGATTTATCTAGTAACTATATTACTATCTCTTCTAAGTTTATAGTATTAGAAGTTCTAATAGACTATATAATAACAGTTACTATATACTTATATTCCTTACTTAGATTATTAAGTAGAAGAGTAATAATAAATCTATTTAGTAGACTAATACCTCTAGACTCTAGATTATTAATAACTCTTCTAAAAGAGTTAATATATTCTTCTAGATTGCCTTTACAGCTATTTAGAGTAGTGTTTATTAGCTCCTTAGATAGTAGGAACTTACTACTAAATCCTATAGCCTTATATAGATTTTTAAGTGTATTCTAAAGAATATATAGATTGCTTATAAATCTAGTTTATAGTAGAGGGCTATCCTCTAAGGCTAGCTTAATTAAAGCTGTTGTCTTATAGGCATTTTTGTCTAGGGTTTTAGTATTATCTACTATAATAGCAGGATTACTAAGTATATAGCTTAGATATCCTTTTTCTACTATAATAGCCTCTATTCTAATAGCCTAGATGTTATAGTTAAGACTACCTTTAAGCTTAGGGAGCTTAATAGACTCTAGTATCTTATAAATAGGCTAGTTAGTCTTTTCTTTAAAGCGTCCTCTTTAAGGGCTTTTAGAGGTAATATTTGCTAAAGAGAGTAAATATACTAGTCTCTCTCTTAGAGATTTAAGGACTAGTAAAGGTAAAGCCTATAAATAGATTACCTACTAGTAATACTTATAGTAGGTCTTATATCTACTATTTTACTATTACAGGTGCTTAATATACTACTAGTTTCTTATAAAGATACTAGAGTCCTTACTATAGAGCACTTATACACCTAGTTTTCTAGCAAAGTACTAGTGTATATTATTTGTAATAGTAATAAAAGCAGCCTAGTTAAGTTTAGGGACTAGGATTAGAGTTACTAGTATAACTTATAATACTACTAGGCACCTAGCTTTCTTAACAAAGTACTAGGTATAGCTACTATAGACTAGGGGGGTTGTAGTAACCACAGTACTTTACTAAGGCTTTTAAATAAGATATAACTACAACAGTAAGTACTATTAAGTAGTAACTCTCTTAGCGTTTTAAAGTATGCTAGCTAAAAGCTATTTAATCTAGACTTTACTAAATATAGTTACTGTCTCTACAAACCCTAAGGTATAAGAGAGACTCTAGCTATAATAGTAATAGCTAGTACAAGCTCTTACAGTAAGCTTAGCAATACTAATACTAGTACAAGTAATTAGTGATAGAGTAGTATATTTTTGCGATAATATACTAGTAGCTAGTACCCTAAAAGAGGTTGCCAAGCTCTAATAGGACTTACTATAGGATAACTTATAAGTATAGGAATAAGCGTCTATGTTATAAGTTATTGTGCCCTATAGCTTATACTAGTTCCTAGTATAGCTGCTGCCTAGTTTTTTCTTAGTTCTAGAGTCTACCTAGAGCCGTGCTATAATATTACTATTATAACTACCCTCTGCCTTTCTTAGAGGTCTATATTATAGCTTATGTAAGCTGTAAATAGACTTAAGATAGTCTTATGTAGGGTGTTAATTAGATAGGAATTATTTCTCTACTTTCTTAGATTGTCTCTATTGCTAGAGGTCTAAGGAACAGGGACTAATAGCAGGATACTACTGCTTTCTAGGCTAAAGTAGCTCTAGAAAGACTTCTTATCTGCTTAGTAAGCAACTATATAGTTGCTTCTATAGGCCTGAAAGCCTGAGTCGAAACAGCAGATCAAATAGAGAAGATACAGGTAGAGGTATGCCTCTTTCCTTCTGGCTTCTCTTCTTCCTCTTGCTTATGTAAGCTGCTTATATAAGCAGTAGCTATAATAATAGATAGAACTAAGTCTTATAGAGTAACGTGGTTCACAAGCGAGTCGCTCACCCAAGTGAGTCGTCCACCAAACACCCGCGCCGCGCCTACGCAGCAGTGCAGCGCAGCACTACAATAAATTACAATACTACACATAACATTATAATATTATTTAGAAGCATTGCTATTATCTACATCCTTAATTTCTACCTTACAGGTGTAGGAGTTATGCCTAATTTTGCTGCAACAGCCACAGCGCCTCTCTACGCGCACCCTCTTTGCAGGCGTCTTACCCTTCTCACAACTACTACCCTCCTTTTTAGTAACTAGGTTAGATACCTTACTAACTATTAGAGTCTCCTCTATTCGTACATACTGCCTTTTATAGGTCTTGCGCTTTATAAGCGTAGTAACAGCATCTTATAGGCAGCCTATTTCCTCCTACACTAATACTATATTATAAGCTATCTATTAAGCACCTTTACTTAACTACTTAACCTGCTTATCTAATAAACTTGCTAGTAACCTACAATAATTTTGCATGCAATTTTAGATCAGCGTTAACTGCGCCTTTATCTCGCGGGCGTTGCGTGGTGTTTGCGCCTCCTAGGCAACAGTGCCTAGTGCAGGTGGCGTTAGCGTACGTAGCTGTACATCAAGCTTTAATAACACAACCTTAGGGTTATGTAGGGCTAGCCTAGCGCCTTAAAACCCTGCGCGAATATTCTCTAGTGTAAACATCCTCTTAAAAGCTACTTTAAAGGCTAGTAGGAAGGTTTCTTTGTTAATATAGTAGATGTAGCTGCGTGCTAAGAGTGAGATCCTGTTGCTGTAGTAGCGCTTTAATAGCAAGTATAGGACAACGTCAAGAGGCTGCAGGAGGTGCGATGAGTGTGGTGGCATGCAGAGAGTAATAATCTTGTTCTCCTTGCAGTAGTCCTAGAATTCTATTAAGCAGTGGCTCTTATGGCTGTTAATAATAAGTAGCCTATATACCCTAGCAGAGGTCACCTTTGTATAGGTGTTAAAGTGCTTAAGCTATGCTATTGCAATATTGTTATTAGTCTAGCTAGTAGGAGAGACTATAACAACCTAGTTGCAAGGTAGACTAGTAAACTAGGCAGAGATTAGGACCTTGCCTGCAAAGATAAGGAAGGGTAGGATAATACACCCTATTATAGCAACGCCTTATACTAGGGTAACCTACTTACAATTGCTAGGCTGTAGTTTCTTCTGTTTCCTAGGTTT